TAGGAACTTAGAAATTTTGTGGGACCATCACATAGACTTAACACTCATGTCAATCTTTCATCCCATCAACGACAGTATTATGGAATAATACCCCATTAGAAAAGCGAATGTTACAATCAACAGAGACGTTTACATCATATTTGAAGAAACCTGTTGTCATAGCACCATCATTACATCATATTATTATATATACTTCCATGAAAATAATATTATATTAATATATTATTATAATAATATTATCTATGGTCATGAATATATGATACTTGAGGGATATAACCTACAGTAGACGGTTGTGATCCAGATGAAAACAAAGATGGTAGGATGCTGGTGTCCACAACTTCGGCTGCGACTGTTTGACATCTGCAACCACGAACACGGGGATGAATGTACAGTAGAGAATGAGGGAATGAATCAAAGGATAGACCAAAAGTGAGTGAGTGAGTGAGTGAGTGAGTGAGAGCCGCTTTTAGATTCATTCCAGCAATTTCACGGCGGGGGACATCGGAAAGGGGCTTCACACGTTGTACCCGGGTATTGAACCAGGGTTTTCGGCGAGAAGAGCCAACAGTATAACCATTTGACTACCCGCTGCACATTGAAAGGGGACTAGTCCAACGTGTGTCATAGTGATAGTGGTAGACCCTGAAATACCACGACTTTTACTCTCAGACTCCGAATGCTAATAAAGTCTCTCTAACTCCATCAATGTCATGCTTCAGGCCGGGAAAGCCCCCCTTTCTCGGGATCGACCTTCCGCTTCTCGGCCAGACTTAGAGTGTATTATATAAGTTGTTCACTGGTCTCGAGGGGGACATGGGCTGATGTACCCTCGATGTACATGAAACCATGGGCCCCGAGGGACCAGGGAACAACGTATTTATCTTACCGAACACCTCAATGGTAATTTTGAACTGTTTGAAGCACGGGTATCGGATCATAGTATGGAGTACCAGACGACAAGACAAGACGACAAGAAAAACAATTAAGAGTTATCTCCCTTCCATTGATTTGCATTCACAAAACATCGGTCATTTCCGTACATCATACGTGATTCAATGTTATTCGAGATAAAGAAGTACCAAATGAGTTCGGCATTCCCAGCGGGGTACATAGAAAATGTTACTCGCTTGTAAGCAGAGTACATTGAAAATAATAGAAGAGCGCTCAGCCAATCATTTATGTGTGAGGCAAGATAATAGGTTATACTACACTAAATGAGAATCAACCGTTTAGCAAGCAGTTTTCGTAGCCTTAGGTGCAGATTGTATCATCCAGAAGCTCTGACTGAATAATTTTGTGTGAAGAAAACATTCTTTTAGATGTACATTCCTCCTGTAATTAAAGCCGACCATGCTTCTTACAATATTTTTCAATATATCTGTTTAACACGATTACTTACATTGAATGAGACCACAGGTATTTTCAAGCGGGTGACATTTGATGCGGAGCTGGGTTGGATTTCTCAACTTCCAGTACTCGGTAATGGCGCTGGTGCTTAACCATGTTTCGTGTTTTTATGGCTGTTAAAACCGGACTGTGCACACCTGTGCATGTAATAGTTGTTGAAGGCTTATGAAATTTTGTAAATATAACGTTGGTCTAAATATACAATTAAGGAGGTCCACTACACTTGAGGAGACGATGAAACAGGATTATACAGTTGTTCATGTATGGATGTAGTGGTAGTTGAGTTTTAGAAGTTGCAGCAGCTGTGTTGTAGCGATGAAGCAGGTGATCGTTAGTTGTTTTTGGTGTTTGTCATACAACACACATATCGGCCTGTATTGATGTGGTTGTATCTGTGGCTGTACGAGCAATGATTGTTACAGTAGCAGGGTGGTAGAATTACTTCCTCGTGGACCTGTTTGGTGTTTGTCATACAACACACATATCGGCCTGTATTGATGTGGTTGTATCTGTGGCTGTACGAGCAATGATTGTTACAGTAGCAGGGTGGTAGAATTACTTCCTCGTGGACCTGTTTGGTGTTTGTCATACAACACACATATCGGCCTGTATTGATGTGGTTGCATCTGTGGCTGTACGAGCAATGATTGTAACAGTAGCAGGGTGGTAGAATTACTTCCTCGTGGACCTGTTTGGTGTTTGTCATACAACACACATATCGGCCTGTATTGATATAGTTGTATCTGTGGCTGTACGAGCAATGATTGTTACAGTAGCAGGGTGGTAGAATTACTTCCTCGTGGACCTGTTTGGTGTTTCTAACGTTACTTTTTCTCTAGTAAGGCTGCATATCAAGCTCGTTATCAGCTACTGATTGCATCGCATGTTACACGGCGCCTTTGAACTAAATAATTGTGCAGTGTACATTTCACGAGTAGTAGAGAATGAAGGAATGAATCAAAGGCTAGACCAAGAGTGGGTGAGTGGCTGTGTGGGTGGGCGAGTGAGTGCGTGCGTGCGTGCGTGCGTGCGTGCGTGTCTAGGGAGGTGAGTGAGTGAGCACCTTAGCCTACTCGGCCACCCGTGTCCCTGTTGCTACAAAAGAGTGTACGCGGAGGAGGGATACCCTCCTGTTTTCACTATTTGATAGTGATTCATAGGAAAGTCCTAGCTGTCATTTATCACTGCCCCTACACCTGATAAGGGAGAATTTGACAAACGGTGTATCAGAATACACAATGCCTTTTAGAAAGTGTTCACATGCATCACACATCATGTCTGGGGTTACTCTTTTGCAGTAAAGTACAGATTCTAGTATCTGAGGCTGAGTCCCATCCGGGATTCCAATCCCCGCTCTCGGAGTAAATTTGTTGCAATGCCACAGAGTAGCAGACACTGTAGTAACTTTATAGCAGGAGTCTACCACGTTCCGAGAGTGGAACAGTGAGGCGAGTGCATGTTGTTTTAGGCCTCTATCATCAGCCAGGCGGCCTGTTATCCGAGTCAGGGTCGGGCCAGCCAAACGTGGAAGCATGGAAACTCAACAGGGAGTCTTCCAGGCTTCAGAGCATTGGAGATATATTTTGTTGAGGAATCAGAATCAGTGCCGGGAATGAAATGTTATTACATGGGATGGCAAATCGGGTTCACGTTCAAGTTCACACTGTCAGTAGCGAATTGAGGATTGACGCCTGCCATCAAACGTTGATGAAGGTACAAGGGAAGATGTCGACGCCTATCGAAAGACGAGCGACGTATTGTTAAGCACAGTACTGACATTTCATTGTTGCGATATGTCCACGGAGATAGTTGCTAGATGTCACTCAATGTCTACTATTTTGTTTGGACCAGACAATCCAGTGATCAGCAACATGAACATCGATCTACGCAATTTGGAACCGATGACATGTGTTAACAAGTGAACAACCTGACCACCCGATCCCGTTAGTCGCCTTTACCACAAGCATGGGTTCCTGAACATCAATTCTTACCCGGATCTTTAGGAGCCAATGTCTATTGTTCCACTTAGGAAGATAAACAGACTCAAGAGTAAAAGAGTATTTAGTAAATCTAGTTAAAATTGTAAATACTGCGAAAACACTGAAATGAAACTTATGTTTCTTTTGTTTGTTGTTTAACGCCGCAATCAGCAATATTCCAGCTATATGGCGGCGGTCTGTATATATCCAATCTTGACCTGACAATCCAGTGATCAACAGTATGAACATCAATATACGCAACTAGGATACGAAGACATGTGTCTAACAAGTCAACGAGCCTGAACACACTGATCTGTCATCACACGTTCCCGTCAGTCGCCTCTTACGGCAGGCACGGATTGCTGAAGACCAATTCTAGCCCGGAGCCTCACAAGTTTAAATTTTAAGAAAGATATACATACATCTGACAGCAAGTGTGAAAATATCCTGGCTTCACTACAAATCCACAACTGAAAATGGAGGAAAAACTTGCAAACAAGGAAAACACGGTACAAATGGATTACAATATTTTCCTTTAACCTATGAATACATAAAGAGGATATTCACATAACAATGAGTACACAAGCACTTAACAAACGGGTTATATGTGACCCGTTATCACCTCATCAGAATAGAAACTACATTCTAACACAGACTATACATAACAAGAATATCAAAGGCTTTCCTTGCAGATACATTTGTATAGTTTACTCCAAACTGTTATATGTACATATATTCTACTGCATCATAATTTCATGTCAAAAGTATTATTTTAAACACGCACCTATAAGGATACATACAAGTTGTGTGATTGTAACTGATAATCTACTGCATCATAATTTCATGTCAAAAGTATTATTTTATACACGCACCTATAAGGATACATACAGGTTGTGTGATTGTAACTGATAATCTGCATCAAATGAAAAAAAAAAAAAAATTTAATAAACCGTGTTACTCTGCTACCTGAACATGTACTCCTACCGTCTTGTAAATTTACTGAATGCTTCTTAACTGCCACCGAATCCACACCGGAAACTTACAAGTTTTACAAATAATCTTCAAAATATCATGGTGTAAACTTGATGAAAATACTTTGTGCATTCATGATGTATGACTCAATTTTCAATCGTCATAAACGGAGTTCACCTTCGATCTCGACTGAAAGTCAAAGGTTGTGACATTTGGAGATCAAGACTGGATCAGTAGGAATACGGATGGATACATAAAGACCTCCTGAAAGTTAAGGTCATGTCTCTTGTTAAACGTTCTTCAGGATATTACTGAGTCGCTCTGAAGCTTAATGCGTATATTGAAACAAAATGAGGCGGTTTCACGGGTCTCTTTAATTTTCTTTGTCACGTGGGTAAATGAGTGGATGCGCATGACCTACTTGACCACTTTGATCGGTACTGTACCTCGACGCATTTAGTCGTATATTGCAGGGCAAGGAAGCCTCACAAAGTACCGAAAATACACTTAGAGAATCATATCTCAACATATTCATTTCAGTAAAGCTTCTTTATACACATGTATTAGATATTTGTCGAAACAACTTTCTCAATAATTCCTAAGAACACTATAGGGTGCTAAGCACTTACAAGAAATACGTACCTTTTGACTGAGACGTACACGTCCCCTGTGTGGTGTCGTTCCTGATGACTCCATATTCATGTAGGACACTCGCTCCATGTTGCAGTGTTGTATAGGGCCTTTCATCAAGCACTTCTGCAAAATAACGGTTCATATTGACACAATAGTACTGTATTTGATAAATAAATACTGTACAAAAGCTGTATAATATGTATTAATTATTTATTTCTGATGAAGTAGATTGACTTATCATAATAGGTCCACATGTATGGTGCTGAATTCCACAGAGCACGGGCATGCTCTAAGAGCATAAAACTTAATGGACATTATTACTTCGGATAGCCCTGTGAGGTGCCATATGACTTATCCAGCTGGGTACGCAATAACTGCTGCGTTAACAGATGTAATTTGGAACAAACTCGCATGCCTAAGGTGAGACCAAATGTGGCACATGTGCTTCGTTGTGGACTGAAACGCATGCCCAAAAATGCTCAAAATATGGTGAAAGGGTCTCCTTGAACCATCTTGATTTCACTTCATGTGCGGAATGTATTGTATACTCTAGACCTGAGAAAAGAAATGATGAAATATGTTTTTTGTACTGTGCTTTTCCATTAATACATGGAATGGTGTAAACTTGATGAATAACCTTTGCGCATTCATATGATGTATGACGCCATTTTCAATCGTCGTAAACGGAGTTCATCTTCGATCTCGACTGTAAGTCAGAAGTTGTGACATTTGGAGATCAAGGCTGGATCAGTAGGAATATGGATCGATACATAAGGACCACCTGAAGGTTGAAGTCCTGCCTCTTGTGAAACGGACTTCAGGATATTATTGAGTCCCTCTGAAGCTTAAAGCGTATATTGAAACAAAATGAGGCGGTTTCACGGGTCTCGTTAATTTTCTTTTTCACATGGGTAAATGACTTGAAGCGCATTAGCTACTTGACCATTTTGTGAACGATATCCGATCACCGATATATCTGATGATTAATTTATACCATGTTTAAAGCTAGTTTAAGACTTGTATAAATCGTGTGAAAACATGCTTTGCAGAAAAAATAAACATAGATTTCCCAAGTCCGTATCTCAGCAGGGTTTTATATCAACACATTCATGTAATTGTTATAGTCAAGGTAGAAATTCTTTTCACTAATGAGGACTTCACAAATTATCAAAGAATGAGATACATTGTCATGAAAAAACTTTACTTAACAGGCATGCATCTTCTTTGGACATTTGTTGACATTTGATGGAAGACATTTCAAATTTGACGCATCAGTAACAAAATAATTGTTGAATGCCATTCCAAATTTTATTTTGTACAATAGTTCTCACGTGTTTTCTTTACTTGCAGACTCCTGGCTTTGTGTTTGCGAAGGGTACCAGTGGTGGTGCAGGATACACTCACCTGCTTTCATCACAATTTGAAGTGATTCATAAACCCATGCTCATGGTATAGCCGAACCCATGCAAAAGACACGTGTTATAGAGATTCCATATAGTTAAGGGGAGAATATTGTCTCTCATATTAAAATAAATGTGTCTCCGCAAATGTCAGAGAATATCAGCTGTATTTACAAGGCGCTCATGTGTATATGGACACTGAAATTTTCTCAGGACGCTTGCAAAGTCGTGTACATGTGTTTAACATTATATTCGCTGGGTTTCATATTTGATTCATTTTAAAGGATTTCTGTTTGTCTGTTTTATTTCTAAGTCCAGTAATAATGGACACTGAAAGTTTCTTACGTCGTTTGCAAAGTTGTGTAGATGTGTTCACACTCTTTAACATTGTATTAAACTCACTCACTCACTCACTCACTCACTCACTTTAACATTATATTCACTGGGTTTCTTATTGGATTCATTTATTCCGTGTTAGAAGTGGTCTTTAGCAACCCATGCACGTCTTAGTAAGAGACGACTAATTGGATCGGGTAATCAGCCTCACTGACTTTGTTGACACATGTCATTGTATCCCAATTGTCCCAGATCTCAGATCGATGTTCATGCTGTTGATCACTGCATTGTCTGGTCCGGACTTTATTATTTACAGACCGCCGCAACACTGCTGGAATATAACTAAGTGCAACAAACAAACAAACAAACAAACACACTTTGACAGTGTAATTACAGTTTTCCCAGACATTTTTGAGAAAATATTGTGTCCTAATTCTGATAAGAGAATTGTAATTATAAAATAGGTGTTACATTATGAAGTAAGGTACTGAATATGGGAGGCAACTCTAGTAGGCTTAAGAATGAACCTTACCACATCAAGAGTTATCTCCCCTGGTGTAGCAGGCGGCTTCCTTTGTTGACAAGGCAGATTTGACAACAGAAGAGAAAGGAAGGCTGGTTCCAGATGATTTTGAAAGGGGTGTAATGCAAAAGAGTTCGCTGGTAGACATAAAAGTCCTCTGTCCACAGCATACAGAACTTTAAAGAATATTGAGTCAGGAGTTGGGATTGAGCACAAGACAGGGGCAGCGAGGCCAAGGAAGTTCAGTTGTACGGATCGCCGGCGATTTGGTCTGATTGGGAGTAGGGGAAAATTGAAAAAAAACGTTGAGTATATCAGAAATGGTATCATCAATAGAGGCATGTAATGAAACCCTTAGACAAGAATTACAAAGACTTAACTGTGTGAAAAAGCGCGGAATCCCCTCACCATTGATGAAAGATGCACAAAAAGGAAGGCGTTTAAACGGAAGGCTCACGAAAATAAAGATAGGGACAATGTTTTCCTTTCTGATGAAAGTTCTGCCTGGCTTTTTCCGAACTGTGTGAAAATTTAAACAAAAGATACCGGGAAACCAATCTACCACCGCCGAAAATATAGCCCGAAATTTCACATGTGGGGTGGGATATCATCACGTGAAGTGACGCTGTTGTGTATTTTCACTGGAAATTTGACGAAGGAACGATATGTTGACAACTTAAATGGTCACCTCCTTCCAACAGCCCGAAGACTGAATGAATATAATTGGATTTTCCAGCACGATAACGGCCCAAGACACACTGCAGGATACACAAAAAATGTTGTCTGACGAAAATGTTCGAGTTTAAGATTGGCCCAGCTACAGCCAAGATCTTAACCTTATTGATATGTCGGGAATGACGAAGGACAGAATAAACCAAAAAGGACTTAGAAATATTATTAAGGATATGAAAGAAAGAAGGGGTCGAATATTGGGATGTCACACGATTTCCGACAAACTTTTATCGGTAGTGTACCTAGGCACATTCAGTCGCGTATTGCATGGCAAGGTCTCACAAAGTACTGAAAAGACACTTACACTGTAAGAGAATCATATCTCAACACATTCATTTCAGGAGACCTTCTATAGTTTATACACATGTATCACATATTTTTTTAAACAATTTTGTCACTAATTTCTGGGAATGCTATAAGAAATGCTGCAGGAAATACATACCTGTTGACTGAGACGTACACATCCCCTGTGTGTTGTCGTTCCTGATGACTCCATATTCATGTGGGACACTCGCTCCACATTGCAATGTTGTATACGGCCTTTCATAAAGCACTTCTGCAAAATAACGGCTTATATCGACAAACTAGTACTTTATTTTAAAATAATTACTGAACAAAAGCTGTATAATATGTATTAGTTATTTATTTCGAATGAAGTACATTTTATAGCAAGATCGGCTTATCATAATAGGTCCACATGTATGGTGCTGAATTCCACAGAGCACGGGCATGCTCTAAGCGCATAAAACTTAATGGACATTATTACTTCGGATAGCCCTGTGAGGAGCCATGACTTATCCTGCTGGGTACGCAATAACTGCTGCGTTAACAGATGTAATTTGGAACAAACTCGCATGCCTAAGGTGAGACCAAATGTGGCACATGTGTTTCGTTGTGGGTCAGGACTGAAGTGCATGCCCGAAGCGCTAACACATTATTACCCGGTTAATGCTAAAAGACATGACTTGTCCCATAGGGTGTCCATTCTCTGCTGGTTGAACAGAGGCAATTTATGAACACATTTACATGACTAGGGAGAGAGACGTGTGTTACGAGTGCTTCGTTGTTGGACAGGACAGAAACCCTAGAAAGTCTCAGAAGTCAATCTGCCAAACACAGTCATCCATCCAAGGAGTCTCCGTTACCAACGTTGCTTAACTGATTTGGGACTTGAGCTCTTTGCACACGGCCATACACCGCCATTATCATAAAACCTTTCGTTATCACACACATGACCTGATAAATACTCTCAGTAAAGTGTAAGCATTCTCCTTGAAAATGCTCAAAATTTGCTGAAAGTGTATCTTTAAACCATCTTGATTTTACTTCATGTGCGGAATGTATTGTATACTCTGAGAAAAGAAATGATGAAACATTTTTTTGGCACTGAACCTTCAGGGTCTTCCTGCTCCTTCTTTTTGTATATGACCACACCAATCACAGTCCCAGCGATAACCATCACGCCAAAGACGACACACACAACTATCACTACGGTATTGTCTGAAAGAAATAACTATGATCTTCATATTTTCGAGTCAATTAATATCAAACAAATGACAAATTTCTGGTGTGCCCCGCCTTGACAATCCTGAAATGTAGCAAAGCAAAAAGCGGCGTAAAAGAGAGAGCCAGCAAAGGAGTTAACCACAGCTCCATTGCCCAGAACCTGCGGCTGCACCAGAGCATCTGTCATAAGACAGACTGACAATACGTCAGACAGCCCTAGGCGTGGTCGACCACGTGTGACAACGCCCGGTGATGATCGCCACATCCAGACAATTCATGTGAGAAATCGTTATGGCGACGTCAAGGGCAGCGACGGCAATAGGACACCGTATCAGTGGACAAACGATGTACCGGCGACTAAAAAAACATGTTATTACTCTCTCGTGGAAGATACCGTAGTGTAATATTTTTACGTCAATATTACACTAATGTAATACCGCTAGACGTATGACGTTATAATGTTTACAGTTATGACGTCACAATTCTAATACCTCTGTCATCACACTGTAAGCAGTTTCTATCAATTTATGTTTGAGAGTAATAAACAGAATACTAAACTCGCTTCCGTGAAATACCATTTTTTATTAAACTCGTGAAAGATTTAGTATCAAACTCGCTTTCTCTCGTTTGATACCAAATCATTAACTCGTTTCATAAAAATGGTATTACACGGAAGGTTGTTTAGTATCCTCTATTTATTCGAGCACGTCGACCCTACGGCGGAGTGCATCTGACTCAAAACGAGACTTGTGGTTATTCTCGAAGATACGGGAATGACGTTTTGCGACCAGTGGTGTTACCAGTTATCCAGCAACAACCACGTGGTATTGTCTACCAACACGATAACGCAAGACTCATACAACATGACTGACAGCCTGCATAACGCTAACATCGTTGTTTTGTCGTGGACAGCGTGTTCTCCCGACATGAATCCGAAAGAGCACTTATACCTAGATCGACAATGAGAAGACTACCAGCGCCACCTGTCTACGCTCAAAAACTGGAACAATTTGTCCTACATGAATGGCAACGGCACGCCTGACGTCATTCGTCGTCTTTCGTCATCAATGTGTTTGGGCGTGTATTGAAGCCAATGGTGGTCACACTCACTATTGATTCAACATTTGATGACATTTTGCAGAAAAACCCGCCTTGTTGATTTGTGTAAAAGTTCAGACTATGATACCACGTGTCTTTCAGTGGCAGTCAAGCGGTTCTTTCAACTTTGTATAAAATGAAATTGTGTACATTTGCTGTAGTATTGAATGCTTGAAACTTTCTATTCAAATTTGGTCAAACACACTGTATATATTCCTTTGAGCACTAGTTTATGTGACATCATTTATAGAAACCACTCAGATAAATAAATTATATCAATAAAAATTTGAAAATGTCAACGCCAGAGAATAACCAGTCTCTATTTTTTCCTATTGGATGGAATGATTGAGAGAAAGATGTCGTAAGAATTGAAATACAATCATGTAAGCATGTAAATAACACAAGCAATGTATTGCATCATGAAGCTGAATCTGAGGTCCAACATTTTTTTTTGGATAGAGATTCCAACGCATACTGAATATAGCATAACGAGATAAAATAAAATCTAACCAAAATATTACCAAGCTCGTGCAAAGATGTAAAACTTCTTCTAATTAACAATTAAGTTGTGACCACAAACAGGTGACAGCACATCACACGATAGAGTCACAGTCATAGCACATCACATGATTGAAAACAGCATAGTCACAGACACATCACATGACAGAGGTGTAATTACAGCACATCATATCATACATGTTATGTCACATGACAGAAGTATATTGTCACAGCTCATCACGACAGACATGACATGAAGAGACATGACAGACATGTGACTGACATATGACTACAGTTAACAGGTCAACATACCTGGAGGTCCTGGTTTAACAGCGTCAGTACTTCCAGGAGAAGGTCTTTGTGTACTCGTAGCGGTTGTAGTGGGAGGGGATGTGGTTGTAGCAACTGCAGATGTTGGTGAAGAGAGAGACAGAGAGAGAGGAATACATGCATTAGTTCAGTCACAGTATGATCATGCTCGTGCAAAGATATACAAGTAATTCCTACAACAACTTCAGATATATCTGCCATATCAGTACCTTATTCATCTTGCTATTTAGCACTTTAAAGCCTCAGCTCTAACACTGGGAGGCTGCTACAATCTCATGTGCATTTGTAAACATAATAACTGATATACTTACTTCAGCAAGTAATAAACTTCAAAATATGATTACATGATATGTTTGGTATTCGTGGCTCAAAGCTCCTGATCCTGACTATTACAATTGACCACAATACAAGCAAGATACATACACAGCAGTATTAACGATGAGTACCTGGATATAAAGTTTCAGACGTCTACAATGCTGTGGAAACAAAACCTTTCAAAAGGTTTCTGTCATATACTGAAACATTCCACAGCCTTCTCCACCCGTGGCACTATTAGTAGGAATATAACTTTGTAAAGAATAATCAGGATCTTCCAGAATGTTTCCTTGGGTATTTGCTTCAGACCCAATATCATCAAATATATAAGAAAACCAGTAGTCCTTACTCACCAACATTGATGTTGAAGGACTTTGATGCATTGTACGTCACACCCCCAACAACATTGGTTGCCAAACATGTGTATGTTCCATAATCTTCAATTTGTATATTAGAAAGTCTCAATTCATCGCCAGGTGATGTGGAATTATCCTCTCCTTCTTTCTGCCAGGTGTAGGTCGCTGGTGGGTTGGTAACAGCGTAACAATTCAGGGTGACCGTGTCGCCAACGGTGTGTGTGCCCTCTGATGGGATGGAGCTGACATCGGGGTCACTGTCACTGAACGTATCTGAAAGCATAAACTGCCTCAACACTGGACGACATCGATGTATGGAGCTTACACAATTAGTTTGTTTGCGGTTACACACCTCTGTTAGCAATAATCAAGCTATATTGGCTGCAAATAATTGAGTCTGGGCCAGACAATCTAGTCATCAACAGTACATACATAGATCTAAACATTTGGGATGCAAAGACTGAATCAACCAAGTCAGCGAGCCTGACCACCCACCAACTCACTCACTCACATTCGTTTTTATTCGTTTTCAAATTAACATTCACAGAACGAAGTCTTATCAAAAGCACCCAGCTGGGTGGTTTCAAAAACAACAGTTAAAACACATTGAACTTGTCAGGAGATCTCGAGTCACATACATTACTTGGCGAGTATAATAAACATATTCCCCTTCTTGATATATTTACTTACAGAAAACTGTGATGGTGTCAGTTTGCTGACATGTAGAGTTGCATTTGTCGGATCCCGTAGGCGTTTTGAGTGTAGTGTGGTTTGCAGCACATCGGATGATCATCCCATTGTCCAGTCTGCTGACAGTCAGTGTGAGCTGACTTATTCGTTCAGAGGTGCAAGTTCCTGAACTCGGATAGGGAGCATTTAGTCTGGCCAGACTGGTAATGTCCGTAAAGGTGTTGCCACGGTACCGGAACCACAGGAAGTCTCCGGCAGGTTTTCCAACAGCTCCCTGGCACCGGAACTCAACCTGCTGTCCTTCCGTGTAGCCGGTGCTAGTTGGAGGAGACAGTGTTATGATTGGTCTCAACGGCTCAGCTGCAATGGAACAAAATGTATTCCCGCGTATACCAAGATCACGAAGTTGTGGTAAACTATATTGTAAAACATTTTTTTATTTTGGCTTGATATTATTTTGGAACCAAGTTGTGTGATTGATGGGTTTAAAATGATTATTCCATTCACAACGGGTTACGATTTTCGTGTAAACATGTCAGTTTCGTTTTGAATGATGTGCACGGAACACGTGTTGGTGTGTTGCTGTGCATTTCAGGGATGCAAACCAGACTGAAGTTGTTCTGTTATTGTTTTAAACTCAATTAAACGTTTTCGGCCTTTGTGCTGGGTCAGCGAGCCCGACCACTCGATCCCGTTGGTCGCCTCTAACGACAAGCTTGGGTTAGTGAAGACCAATTCTAATCAGTATCTTCACAGGTGGATTGTTCAACGAATCTAGACGCGCCTGTGGAGTTGTACGGAAATCAAGGCCTTTTACCTAGCAAGAGAAGATTCATCTCTGCTTCTTCTGAAGCGGGCGTGTTGGAAGCTGTTTGGTAAGCAGCAATACACTTGTAAGCTGCCTCATCCTCACACTCAACACGATCAAATCGCACACTTGTGGAACCACTGTATATATCACCAGATAAGATGAGAGTTGTCCGATCTTTAAACTTCTGTGTAACACTTGCATCATAGAGTGATGAGCTTGTAGGTGGTCTAAACACTGCAATGTCTGTGAAACCTGGCTCTGTAGCTCTCTCCCTACTCATGGTTATTGAAAAAAGGATTTCTCCTGTTTCCACGACATAGTCACACTTGACAGTCACAGGGAGGGGTCCTATAGTCCCCGTCTCATCTTTTGCTGTCAAGTTTAATCCATACACATGAGAAATACCTGGAAAGAAAATGTTTGTAATTTAACTGTTATAAACACCTGAACATTCATCCCCATGACAACTGTCCTGCCTTTATAGTGAGACCTTAATATAAATTATACCCAGACAAGGGACGAACATTCTACAGTGAAACCTGTCTAAACCGGCACCCCAAAAATAAAGTGGCGGTTAAATAAAAATGCCGGTTTAGACAGGGTGCCGGATTAGGCAGGTGTTGGCAGGTTCCACTGTATTTAGGTTTGTACTTCAAGTAACAGCAGAACCTCATCTCTCTTTACATTTGACTGTCTCCCAAATTGGGCTGTTAATGTGAATGAATTTGCCAGAATCTTCGGCTGCACCCGATCAACTGTCATCAGACAAACAGGCAATACCTCAGCCAGGCCTAAGAGTGATGATCACCACATCCGGACAATTCATCTGAGAAAATGTTTTTGTTACGGCGACGTCAACGGCAGCGACGACAATGGGACACCGTATCAGTCGACATACGGTGTACCAGCGACTAAGAGAACATGATATTCAAGCACGCTGATCCTACCGCGGAGTACATCTGACTCTTCAAATCCGACGTCGTCGACTGACATGGGCCAGGTGAGTTGGACGTTGGCCGATGCGTGATTGGCGACGTGTGATGTTCACCGACGAGAATGTTTTGCCTGTACAGTGATGATGTCCTGCCTTTATATTGACCACTTAAAAGTGTAATACTCAGACAAGGGACGAACATTCTACAGTGAAACAGTCGCCCAAAAAATAAATTGGCGGTGAAATAAAAATGCCGGTTTAGACAAGGTGCCGGATTAGACCTGTGTTGTCAGGTTCCACTGCATATAGATTTGTACTTCAAGTAACAGCAGAACCTCATCTCTCTTTACATCTGACAGTCTCCAAAATTAGGATGTTAATGTGAATAAATTTAATAATCATAATATAATAATGGCTATTTATAAAGCGTATGTATCGAATCACTTGTACGCGCTCAGTGCGCTAACTCGTTACAACCCAACCTGCCTGTGAGGCACTCGCTAAATATTGGATGAACAGAGGCAATTTTTGAACAAATTCACTTGCCTGGGGCGAGACCATATGTGTCACATGTGCTTCGTTGTGGGGCAGGAGAGCAGTCCAAGAAACTATCATAAGTCTATATATAGCAGCGAAACACGGCCACCCATCCAAGGACTCTCCACGATCAACGCTGCTTAACTTCAACTGATTTGTGATTAGGGCTCTATGCACAGGATCACACACCACCAGATTTAACCTATCCATTTACTTGTAGTGGGTTAGATGACACAGTTTTGCTTCCATAATAGGAAAACACCGGTAAGTAATGTTGAAATTCCACACCTTGGGCGTAACGACAAAAGTTTATACATAGGTTTTTCATATTCCCCAAACACCAGGTGTGTATCTTTTTGGTACATCAGTTTAGTTGCTCATGCAGTCAACAGACCATTTACCTGTCCTACCTTCCTCTGCTGTGATATTGTTGCATTTCTTCACTCACTCGATATCTATCACTTATATGCTATAAATTGTAGGTATAATTCATAACTGTTACAGAACAGGGCAACTGGGCCTAGAAAACTCAGTATAAATGTACAAATGAAAAACTGTGTTTGACAAAAGCTCGCACTGATTTTACGCAATCATTCGTGATAACCAAACATTCAAATCTGTTTACCTTTACAATTCATGATTGAAAATAAATGGCAGGAAAACACAGGTACATTAAGCTTAAAATCGTTTGATCGTGATTATTTGGACATGTATTAAGCTTGTTTTATGTACATAGAAAAAAACGAAAAAACACAAACAAAGAATAAAATAAAGAAACTAGCAAACAACAAAGGTGATACCATCCGTCGTTACATTTCATGTGAATAAAATCAATTCCAAGACCCCCAAATAAAACACAAAACAAACAAATAACACGTATGATAATGAAAAACACGCGGTGGAGTTTTCTGTGAATACAATAAATCCTAAGACCCCCAAAAAGAAAAGAAAATACAAAGAAATATAAATAAACCCACTTATGATGATGTAACAACGTGGTGGAGTTTTGTGTTCACACAAAAGTCCTACCCTACCCCCACACCTACCCTCACCCCCATGCCCGCAGGCTAATAGTATAAGCGGATATGTTAATGATTATGTTCTTCAGCGCATAATTTGACAGCACATGCGTAAGTTGTATTAATATGAATATATTAATATCGACAGCGCAGCGTTCATGCTATGTGCATTCCCGCTAATGACGATAATATTAGTTACTTTGTATTGCGCTTTTTCATGTGCAATATCTTGCACAGAGCGGAGCAAGGGAAAGAGGTGGTGGGGCGTGGTGGTGGGGGTGTTGGAACTTCATTAGAGGAGGAGAAGTATGGAAGTTGAAGGAGAACAACAAAAAAAACATCAATATACTGCCGGGAGGAAGACTAGTCCTATCTGTTTTAGACACACTTTGTGATTGAACCTTAGACTCAGTTGGGCCTCTCTGTATGACCTAAGAGAATGACCTAGCTCCTTACCCTTCTACACTGTCAGTGAGTTACAGCAGGTCATTAGGTACAGCCGACGTACTTCCGTGTAAGACAGGCGTCAGGCTTTAACAAGTGTCTCCACTGTGCACAGTGACTCGCCGGACTGGTTATAAAACCTGGCGACCTAGCTGGGTGTGTCATCGACTTGATAACAATCCTGCATGTGAACATTGTCAACGACAAAATGGGGAACATGACAAAAAATGAACAAATAATTGGAGTATTATCTAAAGCGAAAATAGGTTATTTGGTATGAGGAATACGTTCTTCATTATACTCGTATACTTGGTGAAACAGAGTAGAGGTCATGGTCGCGAAAACGCAACTCGTTGTTATGTCACAATAGATAACTTACCGACTGAAATAAGTCCTATCGTGAAGAGCCACCCTGTGATTGTCGCTGCCCGTGTCATGACTTCAACGATGAACAGAATTCACTACAGAACTTGATGTCGATCTGATCCAAAAAAAGGTCTCGATTATTCATCGTTAAAAGAAACACGTCAGAAGGTCCACCTGCTGACGACGTGAAGGCCACTTTGTAACTGTGCACGCCAGCGAAAATGTATATCCTGTTTGACCTGAAACAACATCAGGAAGAATAAAAACAGTACCTGTCGACAAGGATCCAATTTGGTTATGTTTTGTTTGTTGTTTAACGCCGCACTCAGCAATATTCCAGGTGAGGTATTCCCGTAAGTAGAAGTTTGTTGTTGTTGTTGTTTGTTGACTCCTTGATTGTTGTGTTGGTGTTGTTATGAGGGGTTAAGTCACTGGGTGCTGTAAAAGTCTGAACTATGTTGTGAAATATGATTTGAATTTACTGAGTTCATTTACTGAGTTTAGCTCACTGAGATTATAATGATACTGATTAATGTGTTCACTCAATCAGTACCATACAGTACATTTACATGTGTTACATATTGTATAAATACTATCAAGTTTCAAGAGGTAGTATCATTTTCACAATGGCCCAGGCACAGTTACGCGAGTTTGCCGCCTGGAAAGGATGTTACTTTAATTTTTCCCATTGTGTGTGGCCTCCAAACAGACTACAAGAACAACGAGGATGTCACCAAGTTCATCCGACGCTGCGCTCGTCTGCCTTTAGTTCCAGTGGCAAATGTAAGTATATTTACTGTTAATTTTACTGTTACATACAAATATTATATATTGTGTCATACCATAAAAACCAAATCATTTTATTACTTTTTCTTTAAAATGTAATTATATAATTATTATCATACCATAAAAACCATTTCATTTCTGAGTGTTACCAGGTAACTTTTTCTAACTTTTGTGTTTTTGCATTTTAGGTGGAAGATGTCTGGCTCGAAATCCTAGAAAACATCAAAGACAAAAGGTGCCTGCAGGTCGCAGACTTAGATGACCACGAGCTGGGTGAGGCTGACCACCGAGAATGGAACCACCATGACACCAACGGGCCCAGAACAAACAACACCTCTCATTCCCCTTACCCCTGCCCCCTTCACACTCTACCCCTACCCTTACCCAAACACCCAACCCCCACTTCTCTCCCCTCTCTCATTCCCCTTACCCCTGCCCCCAGACGCTCTACCCCTACCCTCACGCAAACACCCAACCCCCACTTCTCTCCCCTCTCTCATTCCCCTTACCCCTGCCCCCCAGACGCTCTACCCCTACCCTCACCCAAACATCCCACCCCACTTCTCTCCCTCTCTCATTCCCCTTACCCCTGTCCCTTCGCACTCTACCCCTACCTTCACCCAAACATCCCACCTCCGCTCTCATTCCCCTATCCACCCTACACACTGCCCGTACCCTCACCCAAACAGCCCCTCCTCTCCCCTCTCTCATAACCCCCTACATACACTGCTCCCCTCCCCTCACCCAACCCCTTCCCTTTCCCCATTCTCCCTCCCACCCTCCTTCACATGGTGATGGTACTATGATACATACATGGTGATGGGTACTATAATACACATGGTGATGTGTACTATGATACATACATGGTGATGGGTACTGCGATACATACATGGTGATGGGTACTATGATACATACATGGAGTTGGGTACTAAGATACACATGGTGATGGGTACTATGATACATACATTGTGATGGGTACTATGATACATACATGGTGATGGTTAATATGATACATACATGGTGATGGGTACTATGATACATACATGGTGATGGTTAATATGATACATACATGGTGATGGGTACTATGATACATACATGGTGATGGGTACTATGATACATACATGGTGATGGGTACTATGATACATACATGGTGATGTACTATGTACTATGATACATACATGGTGATGGGTACTATGATACATACATGGTGATGTACTATGATACATACATGGTGATGGGTACTATGATACATACGTGGTGATGGGTACTATGATACATACATGGTGATGGGTACTATGATACATACATGGTGATGGGTACTATGATACATACATGGTGATGGGTACTATGATACATACATGGTGATGGGTACCATGATACACACGCAGGGACACAAAAAGGGACTTGCACACGTACACACGCACAGATACTTGCAAGTTTACACACTGCTTCAAGAATGCCAACACTACACATTTGTTACAATTTGCGGCTGCTTGTACTAGCCCAGACTGAAGCTGGTTTTATAGTGCTAGCCCACTGAGATACCATGCGGCAGTGAAGCATGAATACCCCACTCAGACACATATATACTGACTCCGAGCCGACCAGTCCTTGTTGTACCCACTAATGCCGAGCGCCAGGCAGGGACCAACAAGTACCATATTTTAACGTCTGATGGTGTGACGCAGTGGGGGATCGAACCCGCGACCTACCACACTCCGGGCGGACGCTCTAACCACTACACCACGGAGGCGGTCCCCGGGTGTGTGTTAATGTATAGAGATGTGTATATTGCAATCAGATTGATGAAAGGCAATGACAATATGATGAAAGAAAGTAACGAAATGATGAAAGTATGCGTTCCGGTATACAACAAAAACTATAGCTCAAACCTTCGTATAGTATACCGTTCCCATCCAACTTCCCGTCACCCGTAAGGCTGCCATTTTAGAAACATAATGAGTAATATGAATTGAAAGCGTACTTACATTCACCAGATGATATTTCCGTGCATGTTACAGTTCGTCACAAGGTCAAGTCGCACGAGGTATAGGATATGCAGCAGACGCTATCAGTAATTGAGAACTGCGCTTTTGCAGTCACGTGACACACATGTCAAGGAGTTGCTGGTGTGTCTGTCACAACAGGCTCGTGTCGCATGTACTCTGGGTCATTCAACATCTCAAACTGTATGTCAATCCCCGCTAACAGCCATTAGTAATTGATATCTGCGCAGTTGCAGTCACGTGACACACACGTCAAGTTAAAAGTTTAATAGTGACAATAGGCCAGTGTCGAATGCACACTACAACATTCAGCTCACAGACTGTTTGTCAAAGACCCGAAAAACTACATCTTCATTTATGAGTGTCCAGTTTAGACATATTTATCCTGTGATCAGTTTACATTGCAAAGTCACAGAAAGTGTCAGTCCCCCACATTTCACCAAATAACGTTGCGATATATATCATCAACAAAAAAACACTATGAATACTACTTTAGTAATTACTCAAATAGTGAGGTCATTCTCTTATTCAAAATTATAAAACATGTTGGCCCTTGTCCAGATAGGTGTTGGCCCACTTTCTTAAATCAGTCAATTGGCCCAGGTTTGTGAAAAGTTGGATGCATCCCTGCCAGTAAAACAGCAAATAAAATTTACACTTTTACATTATGATCCTCTGTAAATACATAATCACTGCGATAACTGTTTATATGGCAGATATGCCAAACTGTGATAAAAGCATTCAACGTGCATTTCTTTCTGTGCTTGTAGTGACCCACGCCAGTTATGCTGTCAAACATGATGCTCTTCTGGAGCGCCTGCAAGCATTTGCTGATTGTAATTACATGTATGTTACCCTGGGAGGCAGTGTAAAGGTGTAAACTTGCAATGAATGTTGATGTTTCTCCATGTGACGAACTATGAACACACTGGAACATGATGTTCTAATAAAAATTGTTCACATAATGAATCTCAATCATCTTTGCTGGGGTTAAGTTTGCTAGTGCCATGTGTTGTAAATGTAAATAATATATATTTGAAATGAAGTTGCCATCGTGAATCAGAGAAAGATTATGCAGACATGAGCATGGTTCATTTTTTAACATTTAAATATTCAAGTTAGTGTCAGTTACGAAAGGATTTTCCTGCTGTGTCGATGTGCTTGGGAGGGTTTATGTCTAGGTGTTTATTACACAAACTCGGTGAGGTAGGAGTATGTTGATGACTGTCTCTGTGTCTGTGCATTGCAGCTGCAAGGGCTGTTGAGGGCAAAAATGATCAATTTGATATTCTGGGGTCTGCGGGATATAGTATCTAGCTGGATGTTTTGTTCAGTCAGCGGCTCATTTTCTAAGCGACATAAGTTCTATTTCGTGTTCTATTTGTTATGCATTTATTAACGAGTAAGAGGGATGTAGTGAAACAGAGTTCTTGTTTTCTCGAACAAATTCCCCAAACTGGCCATCCGGTTATTATATTCTATTCCGTGAGTTGTTGATGGTCCTCAAAGGTCACCATGATATGAAGATAGCTTAACATGCAGGTAAAACGTTAAAGTCCCCTTGTGACCTTGAAATGAAGGTCAAGGTCACCAAACCTGACTTGGACCTTTCTTATACTGTGATGAACCGAGGTACCAAATATGAAAAGAATCTAGAGAACGGTTCTTAAGATATTTCAATTCGTACGTACGGAGACAAATACTATATCCCCCGCTTCGTGCTAAACGCGCGGCGGGGGATAATAACAAAATGTGCTGTTGAGTTCTATTTCAGAATTATTTATATAAGATTGAGGAAAAATTTACGTATTTCAGAACTATGATAGAAGTAAGAAATCACCAAAATATCACAGACATTGCAGTATATGCAGATTGTCATACACTGATGAACAGATAAAGGTTTCTAGTTTAGACACACAAGATCTAGGTTCTGTTGGAAACAAACACGGGAATATTGTCACACGGGATAATCGATAATGGCAACTCCTTGACATGTACGTCACGTGACTGCAACTGCGCAGCTATCAAATACTAATATAGGGTCTGCGCATATCGCGTAACTTGAGCAGACTTGAGCTGGTGACGAACTGCTGCATGCAAGGAAACATCGTCTGGTGAATGTAAGTTCGATTTTATTGTTTATTATTGATTATGTTTCTAAAACAACTTTATTGCATCTGATGAGAGAGAAAAGTGTGTGTGTGTGTGTGTGTGTGTGTGTGTGTGTGTGTGTGTGTGTGTGTGTGTGTCTATTCACACAATGTTGTTCAGATAAAAGCATAGTTCATCTATTTAGTATTTCACTGTTGTCAATGACCGCTACTGATCAAGAGAGGCCATATGTGCGGAATAGCTTCATGTGAACAAACCAATACACACATAGAAAATATGAACACTGTTGCCACCAGACAGCTTTTACACACCATGTTTTAAATATTTAATATATTTTAAATGTAAACTCTATGCAACATTGATAACAGTGCTATTGCTTTCCAAGTCTAGGTGATATATGAAGCAGATAGAATACAACTGTTTGGTTGAGCTATAATTGAAGAGGAATTGCGAGGTGTGCTGTTAAAGTGTTAACAAATAAAGTGTGGTACCACTGCTGACTGTTACCAAACTGTTATTCCAATACTGAAATCTGAAGTGCTGACTTAAAATAATGAAATTGTGTGACGGAAGCTTTAATTGCATACAAACATATCTATATATTGATAGACACGGGTAGTCTGATCTAAAGATTGTAATTGTATGCTTTTTCAAATTGCATATTGTTCAGATGGAAAATTTGAATGAATCGCAGCTTGGGGGGTTAAGATGAGTGTTGGACAAACAAAGGTAGTTAAATCTGATGGTGTTATAATGTTAAATGCTGTTAATACTTGTGAAACTACTTTGCATTAGGTAAGCACAATATTATCGCAAAGTTCTGGTGTACATGCTCTGTTTTACATGGTTAAAATACGCAAACTGGTGACAGCGTCGGGCGCTTTACAATGGGTTATCGAGCGTGAGGAGTATGTAAGGGTTATTGGATTACGTTTCCTCCATGCAGCTAACATCTTTCTGACGCTCGTTTAGAAGGTACACTTAGGAATACCAGGTCACCTCAACCTACTGAGGTTGACAGTTGTGCATTGAACCTGTACTCAAGGGGTCCCTAGTATGGTGATCAGACTTCAGTTGCTGGTGATCTATAGCCCGGTTTTATATTGTATTGTTGTGTATAGTGATATATTTTTATGTTAGCGTGCTAGTTTTAAATTAAGGGCTGTGATATTCTAGTAGTTTTACTGTCCTTCGCTGACAGGTTTTATGTTCTCAATTTATTGTTTCTTATATTGATATAAATTAAAATGTTCTCGTCACGATATGGCTGAGATATTGCCGATGTGACGTTAAATATTAACTCACTCACTCACTGTACACAAAGTAGAAACATGAGTAGTGTCAGTTGCGTAAGGAATTTACCACTGTGTTGAACTGACTTAGAGTGCTCATTGTTGAGGTGTTATATTACGATATGTGTAGACAGTAAACCAGTCTGTTGCAACTGATTGTGTTGTTCAAAGTGATTGGCAATCATAGAAATAAAATTCTGACTGTGATATTCTTAATCAGTTTAATATTTCAAAATGAATATTTTTGAACAGCCAGTGCCCCTAAACGCAATTTTTATACCGACTTCGTATCATTTAATATAATCGTTCTTGTTGTTATTAATCTTGGTATTCTCAACAATAATCAGAATGGTATGAATGTGTAGATAGGGGAGCTAGACAGGGGTGATCGATAAAACCTGTGACTGAATATATGATTTGTCTTTTTTCAGGCCACAATTCCACAACGGAATTGCATGTGACCCTCTATAATTAGAAAAAACCCACTGCGTCAACTATGTCCATCAGGATACTCTATTCAGGAATCAGAAGACATCTACGCATTAACAAGGGATTTACAGCTGTACCAGTGAGATACTATGAAGATATTCCTAAAGCATATCGCCCATATGGAAAAAAAAGGTGACGGAAATTATGGATCAACACTTGGAAAACAAAATGTTGGATATGTCAAACCAGTACGAGAAACGATTCTCAGCTTAGCCAAAACCATTCCCTTTACTGACAAGGACTCGGTCTTCAACATTGCCGACTATGGTGCAGCTGATGGTTCTACTGCCATGGCCATTTTCCGTGAGTTGTTGGCCACTTTGAAAGACCATCATGGTCCCAACACCCAGTTCCAGGTTATTTATGAAGACTTGGAAATGAATGATTTCAATTCCCTCTTCAAACGTATGTCAGGAATCATCCCTGATCCGCCGTCCTACCTCCTGGAAATGGACAATGTCTATGTCCTTGCTTCAGGGACAAACTTCTACAAGCAGTGTGTACCTTCAAACTCAATGCATTTCATGATGTCAATGACGTCTGTCCATTGGTTGTCAAGGACTCCAACCACCTTCAAGGACTCGATTTACAAAGATGCCAAGAGTAGTACTGAGGAGACGGCTGCACTAAACAAGCAAGCCGTGTTGGACTGGGAGACCTTTTTTACTGAGAAGAAGTAGAGAACTGAAACGGGGAGGCTTACTTGTCGTTGGTACCTGCGCTGAGTTTGAGGGCAGAAACGCTGGTGATAGACACCTTCTAGAGTCGTTTATAGGACTATTGACTGAGATTTGGAAGGAATACAGTGGAACTGGTAAGATCACAAAAGAAGAGTTCGTTAATACAAATTTGTCCCATTGTTTGCGTAACATGGAGCAGATGACAAAACCATTCGATAACAAAACGTCATCCGTTTCAAGGTCAGGATTAACTCTCTTGTCAGCTGAAGCTGTAGTGAACCCTGATGTATTTTACAACAATTGGAGAGAGAAGAAAGAGAAAGAAGGAATTGATGATAGGGAGGAGTTTGCCAGGATGTACGTTTCCGCTCACAGGAACTGGAGCAACAGTACCTTCATGAATGGTCTCTCAGACTCCCGATCACTGGAGGAGAAGGAGCAGATAGTTGATGAGCTGTACGACGACATGAAGAAACGTATTTCAAGGATGAACCCTGAAATATTTAAAGACGATTTGAAGTTTATATATATCGTGGTCAGAAAGGAATAGTCATCCCAGAAGAAATGTAAGAAGAGAAGACTTGGAGCCATCTTAATGAGAAGACATAAAGAACTGATAACAATGAAACATCATCTAATTTGGTGTGACAATAGGTTAAGGGAACTATATGATATAGACCCCTGAATATCAGTGATGACATCAGCTTTCTCTGAAAGGGTAATCATGTCTTGCCCTACCAGTAGCACCCGCCATTCCCACAGTTGGCTTAAAAAGTAGGCATTTCCAGTGGACGCAACACAGGAGTAATGATGTCATGTGACGGCAGCTTCTAAACAAATCAGACAGTGAAGTGCTCGGTTGACCGGAGTATCCAGTTATTAATATTTAATTACCACTTTTGTATAGAAGTGCAGAGATTCCACTGTGTACGGTAAAGAACAAGTCTTGTATACATTATATTTGAACTTTAACACACAGCTATACATGTACCAATAACTTTGACATCTGATCAATTGCAGTACTTTTCTTCTTGTTGTCGATGTTTACCACCGCACTCAGCAATATACCAGGTATATGGCGGCGGCCTGTAAATAATCGAGTCCGTACAAGACAATTCAGTGATCAAAATTATGATCATTAATCAATGTGTTATGACATGTCTCAACCAAGTAAATGAACCTGACCTGACGCCAAGCATGGGTTGATGAAGACCAATTCTAACCTGGATCTTCACGGGTCACAGAAGAATAGTACTTAACCTCATTATGGAAATGTTTTATGTAGCAAATTACCTACAATTACCTACATAAATGTTTTATGTAGGTAATTGTAGGTAATTTTGCATTTTGCATCTGTAGATGTGAAATTTGGCTAGCAAAAGTATTAAAAATATCATCAGTTTGGACATTTTGAGAAAAGGCAAAAAGGACTAAGTGTAAAGTAAGATTTATCTCACCAGTATGCAGACACTTGGATTCAATCCATTGTGAAAATCTTTTCCAAAAGATTTTGCTTACCCTACAATCCCCAAACAGATGCTGGATAGATTCTGGCTTAGCCGGAAAGTGCATAAGCAGTTGTCAACAATATTCATCTTAATAAAATAAGTATTAACATGTAGAATTCTGTTGTGTAATCTGAGCTGGAACCATCTAAGTTTAAGGTCTGGAGCAGGTTTGTGTGCTCTAATAAATAGGGAAGGCCAGTTCATATTGATTAAAAGTTCCTCTTCCCACTTTTCAGTGACTGTTAAATCATCATCAGTTTGAGTTATTACATAGAAGTATTTCTTTGAGCCTTTCTTTACATGAAACAAAAATGGTAATATATATTCGGCGTCATTAATAAAAGGCCAACCTATTGGTAACACTATTTCTTAAAAGTTGAAATATATACAACAGAATGTTTTACAAACCTTCTTAACAGTAATGAAAAACACATCATGCCGTTGAAACGTCATTATATTAAGTTATTTAACGTCCGATACATTCTGTAATAAATGGTACATTTTTTGTTCAAACTGACAATATAGAAATCCACCTGCCACTTAATGGCAATAATTTGCACGTGCAGGTTGCTCTATCCATGGAAGACCTGTGAAGATCCGGGGTAGAATAGGTCTTCAGCAACCCATTCTTGTCGTAAAAGGTGACTATGCTTGTCGTAAAAGGCGACTAACGGGATCGGGTGGTCAGACTTGTTGAATTGGTTGACACATGTCATCGGTTCCCAATTGCGCAGATCGATGCTCATGCTGTTGATCACTGGATTGTCTGGTCCAGACTCGATTATTTACGGACCGCCGCCATATAGCTGGAATATTGTTGAGTGTGGCGTAAAACTAAACTCACTCACTCACTCAATCTATCCATCGATGCTCATGCTGTTGATCACTGGATTGCACAGTGCACCAGTATGTATCAGTGTTTTACTACACATAAAATAAGTATATGCTTAACGTGGTACTACAGTTACATGACGTGAACAAGGCAAGTCTGGACCTGGACTTATAATTCCCATTGTGAGGATCGATCTTCAGTAACCCATACTTGTCGTAACAGGCGACTATAACGGGATCGGGTGGTCAGACTCGCTGACAGAATATAAGTTGAGGTAAACATACCTTTTAGTAATGCTGCTTGTTATAGGAGAAATAGAATGAAAATGTACATGTATATGTTAAGAAATTTGACTGTTTACATACTATTTTTACCACTTTTACACATTCTACAGTGCACGACCTTTCCGTGCTTGCGACACTACATTCTACACAAGTCAGTCAGAGTGACCTCCCTTTGTCTCTGAGTAATCGCATAATGCGCTCATAAAATATTTACTGATCATGTTGGCCTCAATTGTACGCAAATTTAACCAACAATTGTACCTGTCTCAGGTTCCTGTGTTCAGAAAGAAAATTAGTTTCTTAATATGATCCTCAGTTAATTTGATTTATGCTGTAAATACGTTGAAGTGTTAGGGGTTTTAGGTATGACCATTATTAAGTTGATTGTTCAAAAATCTCGTTGCGTTATAGAAACGTTGACACAGGGTTAATGACTCTGTACCGTAAATTTTCATTTGTTAAATTTTAAGTTATGTGAACTTACCCGAAAATGTGGGCCTAATGACATTGCTCGTAGATGAGGAGCACGTGTGTGGAGAAGAATTGTCTTCACAGATGAATGACCTTTCCTTTTCACCGACCTGACGACTGGAGACTTGTCTTAAGGTGAAGAGGAGCACTTTTTATGGATAGACAATTTCTTTATTGCGATAGATGCAACGTTTCGGCGTAGATCCTACACCGTTATCAAATAACGTCGCATCTATTGCAATAAAGAAATTGTCTATCCAGAAAAAGTGCTCCTCTTGCTCATACCAGCTTCTAAATGCCACTTAAAGAAGTTGTCTAAAGGTGCACAGGTGACTGTTACCTCAGGCCATGTGTTCTGGAAGGGCATTGTATTGTAGGTGAAAGCGTTATGATCTGGGCTGTGATAACATGTGACATGAGTCATTGTGATTGAGGGGAAATTGAATGCTCTGGGTTACGGAGACAAAATTTTGAACGCTTTACCATTTTTGTGGCAGAACAGTCCTGGATTGACTTTTCAAAACGATAACGCTAGACCACAGGTAAGACCGCCTAATTAATAAAACGGAGAGACGTTTACGACGCAAACCGAATCCTTTAACAATGCTGCGGGAACTACACAAAATCCTCTCATCGATGTTTTGTGGCATCACTGAAGATAAGGTGCCAGGACGTAGGTTCATTTCATGACATCCCGAAGGACAACCCGGGAACTGCAATCCAAATCATATATTGCAGCAGTTCTATCGAGGGCATAGTGGAAAGGGGTAAGTTGATCAGTTTTACTGTCTTGGCCCAAACAGTTTCTGCTTTGAACATTCAATATTTTTATTTAAAATGCTATCACATGCTATGAATTTAGCCAGGACAATTCAGTCCCAGTTAAACTCTGCACGGTTTCACAGTTTTCTCACAAACGGAGCACAAAAATGATGGTATATCTGAATTTCTCTCAAATAGCATACTGTTGAACAGCCGACACATCGGTGTTTTGTTTTTCAAATAGCACAATGGATTAAAAAGTTAAAAATAATATAAAAATACGTATGTGTAGATATTTGAATGAACTTTCAATATTGCATTGTCAAAGTCTATGTTCTAAGAGAGTTCGATGGTCCTGAAAAAGGACCTTCAATTGTTACACGGGCAGGGTGCGGTGGTTTTCACCACTCGTTGTCTCACGGGATATTTCCCGCCATTGGTGAGGCACCGGTGATAACTATCCTTGATTTAGACTTGCAGTAGACACATGTAAATATGTCATCGTAGACATCATTCCCCCAAGCATACTCAGGGACGTGAGTGAGTGAGTGAGTGAGTGAGTGAGTGAGTTAAAATGTCAAGTCACGTTGGCAATATTTCAGCCATATCGTGACTAAATCAAGTTATAGATTAATATAAATTAAAAGTAAATTATAAAAAAAACTGTCAACGAAGGACACAGATAGAAATTTAAAACTAATGACTAAATCTAAAACATTTAAACTATACACGACAATACAATATAAAAACAGGCCGGCTATAGATCGCCAACAAACTGAAAGTAGATCACCATACTAAGGACCATGGGGACTTACAGTACATTTGCTACCTGCATGGGCCCCAGCTGGATTTACATCATCCCTTCAGCTGTGAGCAATTTATAATAGTCTAGCCATACATTAAAAATACACATATTCTACGATTAAAAATGTGGCGATTTTTAATTTACTTTGATTGTTTTTGGACGTACGTCCCCTCTCAGGAGGGCATACACAGGGACGTATCCCAGGCACTTCTTGCATGTTCAAGCTTTAGTCTTAGTGCTGTCCATTTTGACGATATGTCCCACTGTACCCACATAATCGTTTAATGTATATTGTAAACCAAAAGTCACTGTGTTCTTTAATCTGATTGGTTGAAAAACGTGATCAAATGGTATTTGATTCCCGGAAATTATCTGCGCATTAATACATACAAACATCGCTCACACCATTGTATTGTTACGTCGTCAGCTGTGATGACGTCATTAAAATCATATTGTGACGTAAAGTCCGAATGACGTCACAAATGAGCAGTTCCAGATGCTACCATGGGAGACAGCCGAAACGGCCGGCTGATGACATTTCACTGCTGTACCCGTACTCGATGTCAATGAGAGCAGACACAAAAAAACGTGTGTAGACCTTTCGGTTTACTTTTGTGTTTACAATGTCGATAAACATCATGTGTTGGCGAATTTCC